ATATATATATATATATATATATATATATATATATATATATATATATATATATATATACCAAGCGATATGCCGAATGGTATAACGCTCGATATATAGTATCGTACCGTACCGAGTGAACGTCGAAACTCCGGTATGGTACGAAATTATATACCTTGGTTTGTAATACATTTTTAAGGAAAAAAAGGGAAAAACTCTCTCACCTTTCACTTCAGACAGAAGTCTGAACATAGGACATCACCAAGCACCTTACACCAGCAATATAAATAAAATTGCAATGCACTCTAATTTCTATATTTTGGCTTCTCATGCACTTAATCTTGTACAGAAACCATATGTTGAGTAATCCACAATAGGCACCTATCAATAGTGATATACACATGATATTTAAGTTCCAATGATTTAAGATTGATGCTGTAATTATCTTCCAAAATTCTTTCAGTAAAAGGCAAGAAGATGGATAATATTAGTGCAAGGGCCAAGACAGGAAGAAGAAAGGAAAACAAACCCTACCTAAAGTTTCATATACTGCCAATAAGTAAAGGAAGCATTGTCAATCATGTCACAGAATATAACTTTTCGATAAAGGATACGTGTCCTTGTGGAATTTAAATGGGTCTCCAGGGGGTACCACCGGACTATCTTAGTAGGGACCAGGGAACAAAACTTTTGCCAAAGTGAAAATGATTCAATTTTAACCGTCATTTAAAATATACTTGGGCAGGGCCAGGAATATGATACTTTCACTGACAAGATTCTGTCAACACAATCGACATTCACAGAAATCTTTGGTGAAATCTACTCATGTCTCTGCATTTTCTCAAGGTAGCCAAAATGATTGCCTGCAAGTTCTTATCACCATATGAGTAAGGCAGGAGTATGCACCAACAAAGAGTATACAAACATTTTAGTGTTGGAGAAGATAGAGAGGAACCAAGATCCCTTTAAGAAAACAGGAAATGATAAGCTTGTATCTCTCTTTTGCACTTTATAATTCAACCAACAAGGATTGGGTAAGAAGACTGCAAAATAGATTTCACTCCACATCATCAAGGATTGAACATGTACTCTATTTCACTATTCCTTTGATAATTACTAAGCTTGTTTGTGAGCTTGAATGTGGAGGTCCAGTGTGGACCATCACTCATTGCATTAGATATGAAGCATCAACAAGGTTATATCAGTATCACAAAGGCTTGTTACAGCAGACAGAAGAATTAATAAAAGAATCAAGTGCACAAACATGTGTCTTGTGCATGCTAAAGCTAAGAGTTTAAACAACCCAAGATCTGGTTACATACATGCCAAAACAGCCAGCGTGAGGGTATGGCGGAGGACAAATTTGTTCCTCTGAAACCAAATCTACCATAGTCAGCCAAGGATGAAGCTGAGCCAGACCTCAGCCGCCTTGTTGAGGACCAGGCTTCACTGAAGGGTAGATCACTTGCATGGTCTGGGAGCAATCCTCTGGATCTCACATTGCAGGGAAGAGTGTCACTTACAGTTATAAGATTGACACGCCTGACAATTATGATAATTGGGATAAATGGGGTCGGCACTAAATTAAAATTTGCCCAGGGGTCAAAAAAGACAAGACATCAAAGGGGCAGCATTGATTTTCCCTTTCTACTCAAAAACCCATCAGCTTAGGGTGCACAAATTACTACTCCTAGATCTCAAAAAGCATATAGTTCAAGACCTGAGTTATCTGAAAGGACAATCTCAAGTCTTCTATGGTCTATACCGACAAAGACTCACCATGAATTTGCAACAAACATAAAGTCACTAAGGTTCAACTTCTAACAGAATGAACTAGGCATGGGTTAAGTATAGCCAGACCAGTTAAAACAATTATTCATAGCAAGGCCTGAAGAGTTGCAGGACATGATCATCAAGCTTCTTAAGACAAGCATGTTAGAACCTGATGTAACAAAGAAAAAGAAAATACAAAAAATTGAAGTGTATGACGTAAATCATCAATATGCAAAAGAGTATATTGATTAATCACATGATGCATTATCCAATAAGAAGAGTATGGTTCTAGAGCTAAATGCAAGGGCTCCAATTAGTTTTAATCTTGATGTTATGAGAAGAGCTCAAAGCAAACCGGTAGGTTACCTTAAAATGTATAGAAACGCAATATTTGATCCTCGATGGAAAGTCACCTACACACCCAAAGCTCATTCTGGCACCAAGAAAACCTCTGGCTTCTTAGGCCCGATGGGCGTTTCGGGAACCGATGTAACGACCAGCACCATGGAAGATTTGATCGTCTTCCTTGCACTCTGATCCTGCTGGATCAAACTAGGAGATATCAGTATCACCTGCGGCAGCAAATCGTTTTTGACGCCTTGGCATACCGCATCGCCGTGATGCAGCATCACTAACCTCCTGAGAAAACAATGGCGCGAGAATTCAATGCCCCAAGTTCCTTCCTTATCATCAGCCGCAGGAGCTCCCAAGTGAAAGGCACCTTCATTTGAGGTGACGATGACGACGATGATCGCTCGGAAGGTGCGAACACGCAAATATTCTGGTCATCAACGCGGCGGACACACAAAAAGCGATATTTGACCAGCTTGGCATGAAGGAGATCGTCCTGCGGCAGGAAGGAAACGAGGGCGAGGTTGCCGTAGTGTCACGGACAAACTTCTCAACAAGAT